GCACTAACACTTTCAAGATGCTGCGGGAGGGAGCCAGAACCCATCACCCACCAGCCATCTCCACAGATGCGAGCCCCCATCTGGCCTCCAGGCCTTCTGGCAAATACAGAGATTTCATTGTAAAATTGCCTGAGATGAGTCTATGGTGGATCTCTGTTTTAGATAACCATCTGAAATAGAGCATATTGTTTCAGAAGCTGTAGAACATGAAGAGCGCTTAGCAAATCTCTCACACTTCTCTAAAACTTGGCAGACTTTGTTACCTCAAGAGTTAGTGTGTTTAGTATGTTTTCCTAATTCTGTGCAAGACTAAAGTTAGGGTTCATCTTGACATTGAATAGCATTTCCTGCTATATGTGCTGGGAAAGATGTTGTTGTTGTTGTTCAGTCATTAAGTCGTGTCCGACTCTTCGTGACCCCACAGTGGCCACGGGATTGGAAAAGGTCAGTTTACGTTCCAATTCCAAAGAAGGGCAATGCCAAAGAATGCTCAAACTATCGCACAATTGCACTCATTTCACATGCTAGCAAGGTTATGCTCAAAATCCTACAAGCTAGGCTTCAGCAGTACGTGAACCGAGAACTACCGGATGTACAAGCTGGGTTTCGAAGAGGCAGAGGAAACAGTGGCCACGGGATTGGAAAAGGTCAGTTTACGTTCCAATTCCAAAGAAGGGCAATGCCAAAGAATGCTCAAACTATCGCACAATTGCACTCATTTCACATGCTAGCAAGGTTATGCTCAAAATCCTACAAGCTAGGCTTCAGCAGTACGTGAACCGAGAACTACCGGATGTACAAGCTGGGTTTCGAAGAGGCAGAGGAAACAGTGGCCACGGGATTGGAAAAGGTCAGTTTACGTTCCAATTCCAAAGAAGGGCAATGCCAAAGAATGCTCAAACTATCGCACAATTGCACTCATTTCACATGCTAGCAAGGTTATGCTCAAAATCCTACAAGCTAGGCTTCAGCAGTACGTGAACCGAGAACTACCGGATGTACAAGCTGGGTTTCGAAGAGGCAGAGGAAACAGTGGCCACGGGATTGGAAAAGGTCAGTTTACGTTCCAATTCCAAAGAAGGGCAATGCCAAAGAATGCTCAAACTATCGCACAATTGCACTCATTTCACATGCTAGCAAGGTTATGCTCAAAATCCTACAAGCTAGGCTTCAGCAGTACGTGAACCGAGAACTACCGGATGTACAAGCTGGGTTTCGAAGAGGCAGAGGAAACAGTGGCCACGGGATTGGAAAAGGTCAGTTTACGTTCCAATTCCAAAGAAGGGCAATGCCAAAGAATGCTCAAACTATCGCACAATTGCACTCATTTCACATGCTAGCAAGGTTATGCTCAAAATCCTACAAGCTAGGCTTCAGCAGTACGTGAACCGAGAACTACCGGATGTACAAGCTGGGTTTCGAAGAGGCAGAGGAAACAGTGGCCACGGGATTGGAAAAGGTCAGTTTACGTTCCAATTCCAAAGAAGGGCAATGCCAAAGAATGCTCAAACTATCGCACAATTGCACTCATTTCACATGCTAGCAAGGTTATGCTCAAAATCATCTTTGGCTGCAAAGTATGTAATCAATCTGGTTTCGGTATTGACCATCTGGTGATGTCCATGGGTTAAAGGTAAATATTACTTCTGAATAATACTTACGTAATTATCCCCAAATAACCAGCAAGCATACAAAAGGCTGTATGATTGAGTTGTGCAATAAATTAGCTGAAGACTTTCTACCAGTGGATTGATTTTTATTAATCATTTTTATTAATTTTACAGTCCTGATGCTGAAACCAAAACGCTGAAAAGCAAATGGCCAGCTGTCTGGGTGAAGATCTCTTCAAGCTGGGTTTGCCTTCTTCTTTATGTCTGGACTTTAGTGGCACCTCTGATCCTTACCAGTCGAGACTTCAGTTAAATGGTAACTTCTGTGAAAGCATGGAGATATGACATTCTGCCCTGCTGAAAGCCAAAAGTTCTGTATTGCTTCTTGGAGCTAAGGCTCCAATCATCATTCCTACAACATGCAGACAAATAGAAGTCTAATTCATATAATGCTTAATGCAGAATCTAAGTGCTGTACATATTGATGTGTTAAATTCAAAGCTAGCATTCCTGTTACCTACTACAGCTGTGCTGTTGAAGAATTTTGTAAAAAGCTTGTGTAAACACTGTCTCTACTCGAAGAAAGTATGAATGGAAAGTAATATATTCTAAAGTTGTTCTGATATTTCACTGTATGGAAATGAATGCCATTGCTGTGATGCTCTACGTTCCACTTCAGAAAAATGTATCTGATGGAGCTTTGAATAATGGATAAAGCCTTTTTCTTAACAGAGATCAGCATGCTCATGTAATATAGCAAGCCTACAACTGGCAACTTTTGGGATCACTGTAGAAAACAACTTTTTATAGGGACCTAGTATATCACTAAACTTTGAATATTTTACCAGCTATCTGATTTACTTTAAACAAGTTCAAGTCCTGCTTTCTGAAACAGTTTAACAAGCAATACTTGTTAAAGCTAGTGTATCATTCTGCTCAGTTTGGCATTATTTGCACTATAAACATGTTTGATTAAAACGAAATCTTTAGTGTCACTTCTGTTGGATGGTGGTTTCAGCAGTTCTGCATATGATTACCATCTAGCCCAAGCAGTGAAGTTGGTCTGTCTGAAAGCAAGTCTTCATACACCTTATTTGTGGTTTATAAGCAAAGCATTTCTATGGGGGGCTCTTGATTTACATGTTCATATTACAATATAGAACTTTAGTTGGCACAAGCACATAAAGTACGTGCTCGATTTTTAGCCAGTAACTCTACATGCACTTTTGCCAGTAGCACAGACATCTGTGCTCAACTGATTCCCTGCTCTTAGCTGCAGTCCCCTATGCTGGTGCCCATCATTTTGAGAACTTCAGCATGCAGGAAAGCAAGAGGCCGCTTTCTTCTGTGTGTTATGATTGACAAACAAGTTTCCCTTGATGATTTTCTAGGATTGTAAACATTCAGGAATTGCATTTTTCATTTCACCCTAATTCAATTTTATGTACTTTTCTTTACCATCTTCTAAAGGTACAGACTTTTAATAGTTCTGGACAGTGGCTTTAATGGTATCAAACATTCACTGAAACAGCATGTATATTTTAATATTAATAAGATTTAATATCCACTCATGCAGACAGACTGTTCATTTTATAAAGTGCAATAGAAAAATAAATTTTCAAGGTATATACTCTAATTCTGTACAGAGAAAAACAGATCCACGAACAAGAATGCCAAAACTTAGCCATAGAAACAAAGCACCTCAATTACCCTCTGGAAAAATTATTACCATTTTTCTACTTCAGATACAGATAAACAAAGGCAGTCTGAAATCTGTGAACTGCCAATGTCTTTTACTTAAGGCTTGGTACTCTTCTACTACATCTGCTTGAATTTTGTCTACAGAAGTACCAATATTGACAAAAAATCCCTAAAACCAAGATGCCAGACAATATGTATGATATATTAACTATTTTCTTTACTTTTAAACCCTATATGCTTAACTATGGGCACAACACTTAATGTCTTAGCTCTGTCAGCCCTGCCTCCAAAACCAATTCTACAGAAGAACAAGAAAACAAGAGCATGGATGACAATTTAGACCAGGGTTCCTCAATCTTGGCGACTTGAAGATGTGTGGACTTCAACTCTCAGAATTCTCCAGCCAGCCATGCTGGCTGGGGAATTCTGGGAGTTGAAGTCCACACATCTTCAAGTCGCCAAGGTTGAGGAACCCTGATTTAGACTATGCATCTTAGAGGGTAAATAATAGCTACAAATCTTACAGAGTCTATTTCCGGTATATATGGGGAAAGAGAGGTGTGGTATAGCAACAAAATGTTAAGTACAAGGAGACAAACATTGAATTGGTATTAAATTAAATTGGCATTCTTCAAGAACCTATTGTTGAATGAAACACTGGAGAATCCAGCATTTTTTTTCTTTTGGTCAGGATTTATATTTTCTTTTATTATTAAGATTGCTACAAGAAATTTTGAGTTCTTAAGATTGCTACAAGAAATGTTAACACTGCAGGAAAAAAGGAACCATGGAATTTTAACTTCCTATATCATAATAATAATCATTATCATTCACTATCATTTAAGACTGGCTTCTCATTTAAGAGGGAAAAATTAAAAAGAACGGATAAAGTGTACTTTAGAATAGCTGCCCTAGAAATGAGCTCCCAATTTTGGTGAGCAAAGAGCTTTTCCCTGACACGTTACAGTGATTTTTAAAATAATTTGTGATTCAAGCCAGTTCCTTTATAAATATATTTCAATTTCAGCTACCAAAGCCTGCCAATTTTGACTTTTCTGAATAAAGATTTCTTCCAATAAAGAAAAGAACATCCATTATCATTTAACATACATTTGTCATACACAAATCTGATAAGCACTTTCCAGTAAGAATACATAGGCAGAAAAGTGTATCTTGTGCCTTAACCGATACCTTAAACTTCTTTTCCTAATTATGTGCGGGTAGAAAACCACCCCAATGGGTAAATAAACTTAGCAAGACAAGGGAGATGGGTAGTAGGCTTAGAAACCAGTTTCATGTCTGTTTAGATAGCTATAATACCACACTGGGTTTGTATTTAGAACTCTAATTGAAGCACAGTCACATGACTAAACTGCTTCACCTTTTGGCAATAGAGAAGCAAGTTACTGTAATTTAGAAAAACTAAAAGTAAATACAATTTTGGCACTGGCGATAAAATGGTCAACCTGCAGACAATCTTATATTTACAGTAAGCACCAGCTTCTGGCCTTACTTGGCACTAGGCAAGAGCCTCCACTATAGTTCCAATAATTTAAAAAGTGCTATAAGATGAGCTGCTGCCTTATGGGCAGCAGTGGGTACAAAGTCCCATTGCAGTTTCATCCTTGCATGCAAAGAATGGGCTCAAACTGCCTGTAACTTTAGTTGAATATGTGATTCAAAGACAAAATATGTCACCTGCTGAAAGATGATCTACCAGTACAAAGGATCTAAAAATATATCAGGGTTTTAGATCCTTTCCTATACAGTACATTTTATCCTAGAGATGAGACTATTGGCCTTGGGAAGGGAAGCCAAGATCGAAACAGCATTGAGGCCCACCTGACAAAATAACAGAGAATGGGGAGAAACCAGTATTTATAAATGGAATATTGTGCTTGTAAAATACCCTGTCTATGTCTGCTTTACAGAGACCATTTCAAAAATTCTCTCTCCCAAAAACAAAGTTAATCAAAACAAGTTACCTCTTTTCTTAACAGGCAGAGATTTACAACTATCACAATGTCTGTACTTTTCCCCAGACCTATTTTCATCAGGCAGGGTACTAACCAACAATGCTATAGCTGTATGCAAAACTATGTGCTTTCTCAGCTGGTCCTGTCTTATGCAAATTCAAGTATGGGAATAAAATTGGCTCACAGATTATTTGATGCTTTCTTTATAAAAGAAAAAAATGAGTATGTGCTTTCAACAGAACTTCAATAGCTCATTCTTTCTGCAAGAATCAACTTCAAAGTGTTAACGCTCCCTATTAACACTCCCTATAGTATACAAAGCTGCATGTTTGTGAATAATGCTGAACTTTACAGATGGCAACAGAATAGAGAGCTGAGTATCTCTTAGATTAGTTTATGGCAGATAAAGCTTTTAGTCAGCTATCCTTGTATCATTTAGCTCACATTCCTTTCTCTGCAGAGTTAGCTCTATATTACTGCACTTTCAGATTTGTACATTATTTTTGCCCCCTTCAGCCTGAGAAAGAATCTAGTGCTTTGCACCTAAACCTTATTTGGAAGCAAGTTCCATTAATTTCAGTGCAACTTCCTTCCAAGTAATTGTGCTTAGGACCTTGTTATCAGCAGCTTTCCTTCAGCTGCATTCATTTGTGGCATTTGATTTGCTTTTGAAATTGGGTCAGTTACCACAATAACTTCCTGCTGGCTCAAAGAACTTCCATTTGCCAGTGTGCCGCATAATTTCACTTTGTTCCAACTCTTCTACTTAGATTTGCTTTGGTTCCAAAGTAAAGTGACATCTATCAACACCCACATCTTGTAGTCTTAGAACTAAGAGAGAATTCATATTCCCTTTGTAAACAGCAAGGTGACATTTTGGAAGCTTTATCTGCTATACTAATAGCAGGAATAGAGCTGTGTTTTGAAGCTTCGCAAAGAGTCATCACATTGCTTCTCATCAATCTCTCCACTCATTAATGGATCATGTGGTGAACAGTCACTGGAGAGAGGCAGATGTGAGACATCATACAGGAAGTCATCCTCTGATGCCAGCAGTAACTCGTTCCAGATAGAGATATCAAGCTTCCCTGCCGTGCCACCATATTCTTCAGGGAGAATTTGAGGTGGAAGGTTGTGATGAAGAGACCTCAAGTCTGACCCATGAAGAAAAAACTGAAAAGAAAAAGACATTTCAACGCCATTCCAATTCAAATTAAATGTATTATATTTTAGAAATAATGATACAGTGTCCCTTTCAAGACTAGACAATGGTTCACAGTATTTCTATATATGTCCAATTGACAGCAGCAACATTTGAGGTGAGGCTGATATTCTTATTCTTGACAATCATAGAACAAATCCCAGTCTCACAATCTTTGTTACAAATTTAAAGACAAATTTTCTTTAAACTGTCCCAAAGAGTTTAAGCTATATCCTTGGATAAGCTTCAGTTGGACCTCTATGAATAAGCAAAGATTATTATTGCTGGATGAAAAGGAAATCAGTTCACACTTGTATCACTCTCTAGAGAAAGCAGACTCTAAAGGAGGCCATTTCCAAAAATTTAGGCACTTAATATTCACATGTATTGTCTCCCTTTTAGAATGTCTGCACCTCCTGGTTTCTTGCTTAATAAAAGTAATGGTGTGTGGACCGCCAACTAGAGAGTTTTTAATACTGAGCACTCAAATCAAATCAAATCAAAAATACTGTTTTATATGCCTAATTGCTTACACAGGAACAGCTGTTAGTCTCCACCTTACTTTATCAAGGATATTTAAAGAATTTTATTAAAAGAGAAGAAGAAATAGTGGGTCTTTTCTGGCTTTGCTGTGCAGAATTGTATTGGATTTATCTACAAAATCCAAGAAAAGGAAGATCTAGCTGGAGATGGATTTGGCTGCTTAGTTAGCTGCAGTTAAGGCCACAGTTTAACTGCAGCTAAGACTTGCACAGAACTAACGAGACTTTTCTTTCCAGATGGTGTTTAGTATGTAAATTAGAAACATATGTTTTATTAATTCAAAATAAAATTTTGAATTTTTATTAAGTTCACTCTGCAAACAGACTGCAACTTCTCCAAAAGCAATGCCCTGCTGGATCAGACTGGCCTCTCTAGTCCAATCTGCTGTTCCCTACAGGGCCAAGCTAAGGGGGTATGTAAAGTCCATAAGCTATGCGTGTGTCCTAGAGCCCTTCCTCAATATGGTTATAGGCACTATATTGTTTCACACAGCCATAAAGTCTACTTACCCGATTTGCTATTTTTTCTTTCAGAAATGGTTTGAGAATAGCAAAAATTCCCTTGAATATGCGAGGTTCATTTATGATATTGACAGCTTTTATTCTAATTGGAAAGCCATCCTAGAACAAAGAAATGCCAATACAATTTATAAAGATTGGAGTGTTTATGAATAACTGTATCGGTTTTCAAAACAAATCTATTCAATCTTATTTTATTTATGTAAAAATAATTATAACCACTATGCTCCTTACACATTTCCACTGTAAACTCAGAGGGGGATAGAAACTGTTTGTTTCAAAGACAAATTCTTGGCAGAATGTGTGTTTCTCAAGAATAACAAGAGATTTTAGCACAAATCTTTCCTGTACAAATAAGGCATTCCTCCCTTCATAGAGAAGTCACCACAGGGTAGACATTTCTCATGTCACCATAAATATTTCCAAATTTATTATGGCTTAACATTTTATGGCTCAGAGTTCACCATCTAAAATATGAAATATTACCCTAGGCTGGCAGAAGTGGGGTGTGTATCTGGAGGCATATATATAAACATTATTTGAAGGCATCTGTCTGGTTCCATAAACTGCTGTTCAAGCGCAAGGCTTTTAGGATTAATTTATTAAAAATACTATTCAGTAGCTGTCTACATTAATGAACACCAATTAATGCACCACAAACTATAAAGAATACAAAATATCTACTTCACAGATGGCAAAAATAATCGTTTATGGAGATTTAACCAAAGCATGTGAGTTACAAAAAGGAAAAGGACAAGGCTGCCCACTGTCCCCTCCTCTGTTTATTTTACTTCTTGACATATTTAATAGAGATATAAGACAAGATGAGAGGATTGTGGGCGTAAAAATTAAAAAAGAGTCATACAAGTTGAGAGCTTTTGCAGAGAACTTGATTCTAGTTTTGGCAGAACCCTTAAAGGGAATCAAACTTTTAATGAATAAATTAGAAGAATTTGGGGCATTAACAGGTTTCAAGATTAATAAACAGAAGACAAAGATGTTAACAAAAAAACATGAAGATACAAGATCAAACAGAATTGATGAATAAAATAGGTTTAAGATTGAGAAGAAGGTAAAATACTTGTGTATTACTATGACAAATATGAATTGTATATTATTTCAAAATAACTATGTTAAGATATGGAATGAAGTTTAAAAAGATATGTCAAGATGGGACAAAGTACAGTTGGGGAGAATCTCTATGATTAAGACGAATGTTTTACCTAGAATGTTATTTTTGTTTTAGACAATGCCTGTTTTTATAACTGATGTACCATTTGAACAATGGCAGAAGGATACATCTAAATTTGTATGGCAGGGGAAAAAACCCCAAGTTAAATAAAAGGTACTACAAGATGCAAAGGAAAGAGGAGGATTGGGTCAACCTGATTTGAAATTATGTTTGCTGCCTGTTGTTTAGCTTGGATGAAAGAGTGGGTGCTGTTAAGAAATAGAAGGCTATTGGAGTTAGAAGGACATGATCTGAGATTTGGGTGGCATGGATATTTATGGTATGACAAAGCTAAGGTTAATGTAGATTTCAAAAATCATTATGTCAGGCAGGCCATTCATAGAGTATGGAATAAATAGAAATCTAAGTTGTGCCCAAAAACACCTTTGTGGCTTTCAGTACAAGAAGCATTTTATAGATGAGAAATGATAAGTAAACATAAATGATTAACTGTGATGTATTAGAATTTTCTCAAGGGTATTGTAAAATAAAATCAAGAGAAGATTTGATAACAGAAGGATATACTTGTCAATCATTTTCCCATGTACAATTATCGGAAAAGTTTAAAGTGGATAAAAGGTTTTATGGTTTTGAACAATGCAAGACTGAGTTTGAAATAGAACTATGTACAAATGATCAACTTTTTATTGCTAAAATGTATACACTTTTGTTGAAATATGAGACAGAAGAAGAACAAGTAAAAGAATGTATGATAAAGTGGGCTAAAAAATTTGGCTATAATATACAAGTGGATCAATGGGAAAATATGTGGTTGAAAGGATTGAAATTTACATTACATTCTAGCCTTAAAGAAAACTTTTAGAAAAAGATGTATTGTTGGTATTTGTCACCAGAGAAATTGTCTAGAATGTATAAAGGTACTTCAAATTTTTGCTGGAAATGTGAACAACATGAAGGGACTTTTTATCACATGTGGTGGACATGTAAAAAAGCCAAAAAAATTTGGATACTAATAAATACATTAATTCAGAAGATTTTAAAGACCAATGTACAACTACAACCAGAGACTTTCCTTTTGGGATTAATGGACAGACAACCATGGAACTTTGTTTTTATACATGACAACTGCATATATAAAAATTACTATATGCTCAAAACTGAAAAAGTTTGACACTGCCCACAATAGAGGATTGGTTGCTGAAGATGATGGAACTTTTAGAGATGGCTAAATTGACTTCTTTGATTAGAGAAAAAACAATATCTACATTTAAGGCTGATTGGAAACCCGTTATAGAATTTTTGCATGAAACAGAAAAAAAAATCACTTATGATTTGTGGTTTTGATGATTAGAAAAAAAATTGGATAATAGAAAAAAGCAAGCTTTTTTTGTATCATAAAGTAAGAGATAACTGTAATCATACTTATATTTGCTGCAAAGAAAATCAGAAGCTTCTTTCTATTTCTTTTTATCTTTTCTTTCTGTTTTTCTTCATTTTCTTTATTGGTATTAGTTTTAATAAAATTTATATATATGAAAAAAATACAAAATATCACTGAAGAGAATGTCTAACAGCATGCATGTATAAAACTTAGGACTTTTCATTCCTCTTCTTTTCAATCACTTGCATGTAGAGTGCAATCGAAAAGCATATATAAGTAGTTCTCGCTTACCCGCTGCCTCATTTAATGATTGTTCAAAATTATGACGGTGTTAAAAAACAGCTTTATGACCAATCCTTGCATTTACGACCACTGCAGTGTCCCATGGTCCCATGATCACCATTTGTGTGCTTCACAACTGGCTTCCGACAAGCAGAGTTAATGGAGAACACAGAAGTAAAATTGCAAGTCGTGGTCATGTGATGTTTAGTTTAACAACCAAATGGAAGTGATGTTGTAAGCCTGTCGTGTCCACATGATTTTCCGCTTAGCGACCGCGGCATTTAGTGATGGAGTTGCCGGTCCCAATTGTGGTTGCTGAGCGAGGACTACCTGTAGCTTCAACTCAGCATGTTTATAATATAAGCATTCACATGAGATGGATCACACAACTGCTAAAAAAAATTCTTTTATCCCCAGTGAGACATCTTGTGGAGAAAGAGATAGTACTCAAGCATTAAATGTAGTTTTCCTTCCTTTTTCATTTTAAGCTTAAATTAAAGCTATTCTGAAGTTGCAGTCAATCTTTTCTTAGTTGTAAATCAAGGAACCCTACTGAAATATTTTCACATGTTAATTAGATATGTCAATTTAGATGCAATTTAAATTTTGGATTGGAAGTAGAGATTGTCTCTTACAATAATCATGCACTGTGTCTATGTAATTTATTGGCAAATTGGAAGCTCCATGTGCCTAAGACTTGACAGAGGATATTGCTTTGACTGGAACTAATAAGAGAAAACAGAGTTCTGGATATGAACTTTTCCCAGACATTGTTCCACATCCAACCCACACCCATAACTACAAGGATATTAGCACAACAATATATTCATCCATGTTCTCCCTGCCCTGGCTCCAAGATGGGCTGCTTACAATTTGTGGAGGACATTTTCTCACAACACAGCATCCATCTTGGGGCCAGCCTGACACTGAGGCAGGCTAACGTCAGACCAAAGAGATATGACAGGACAGTGGGGTTTTCCAGTGGAAAATAGAACAAGACCCCCTTGATGTGAACCCTCTACATCACACAGAAGAGAAGCCTGAGGGAGGTTAGTGACTTGAAGGCTCCAACTGGCCTGAAGCAGAATTACTTTCTCTCATCCGGCCATGAGGCTCTGTGCCTCCAAAGACATTTCTCGTTTGTGTGCTGCACAGAACTCAGCCTCACTTGGCAGCCAAGGCTGTCCTTGGGGGTCGGGGAGGCAGTTAGGAAAAGCAATAGCAGATGTATGGAAAGTATGTTAAACAGGATCAAAGGCCAACAGCAAGCCAGGGCATCACTGCTGCAGCAGACAATATCAGGCACAGGATCACAGGGTGTGGGGATTGGGAAGCTATTGCCAAAAGATGGGTGGGAGAAGGGCAAAGAGAGAGAAAAGGTAAACCTGTGCCCTGCATACCTCCCTGCTTCGTGATATTCTGGAGGCACTCTTGGTTTGGACAGTGTCCCCTGGAGTACTTCTCATTGGGGAAATCCTTGGAGTTTCATAAGGCCTGGCTCCCACCTCCTCCCCACGATTGAGGGTGGGACATTTTCATCTATTCTTACAGGAGAAGGGCCTAGCCTGCATGTCTCCCTCACATGTGAGTGCATAAGTATGGAAGTGTCCTCAGTTCAGCACCTCTGGTTTGCTAAGCAGCTTCAATAAACAACTGTAGGCTCCAAAGGCGAAAGAAAAAGGAGTGGGAGAAAATGGAGTCTGCATCTGGCAGAGCTAGTAGGAATCTTGCTCTATCCTGAGCAACAGAAAGCAAAGCAATGAAATAAAGCCAATCAGCATGCAAAGAACAGTGCACACACACACACACAAGCACATGAACAATAGCCAAACATTTGCCACATCAAACTGTTAAATAAATCAATCTTTTCCTTATATAGGACACTGCTGCTGCCCCCATCTGAGAGCAGCAATTGCTTCAAGGGTGCAAGGAAAGCACATCACTAGGGGTGTGGGGAAGAGCCTACTGATACCTTATTCCTAATAATCAATTACCTGGATTTTGGCTTTAAAAAAAATTATAAAGGAGAGTGACATAATTTTCACCATAAGCTGATTAAGCTTTTAATTGTAACTCTGCCCAAGAAAAATGTAAATCTTGCGTTACTCTTGAAAGTCAGCAGAACCGAGAATGCAGAAAAATAAGCCACCACATCCATGGGTAAATAACATGGCACTTGCCGCAAGTGCAGCCACTCTGAAACAATATATTATCAAACTTTTTCTTTCCTGTATCAAAGCCAGTAACAAAATATTAGTTTCTTTTCTATTTATGCCTGCCACATTATATAAGCCCAAAACTGATAAACAGTAATAAGAAGTTAAAGTACTGTATTTTTTCAGTACAAACAAAACATTTTTCAGTACAAACAAAAACATTCTTATCTATACTAGACTGACCCACACTCTGTTTTCTCATTGCTGGCCTCCTATTTACTATTTGGTAGTTCCTATTGAACATTAAGGGCTAAAAATGGCTTTTTAAAAGACAAAAAATATAGACTGCCTCCAAATAAAATGCATTATTTATGCTTCACTATTTAGTTGAAATGTATTTATTTCCAGAGTTCTTGATTTTATGCTAGAAATTGCTATACTTAAGACTATTCAGCTTTTTAAAAAATACATAAAATATTAGACATCTAGCAGCATGCTGATTTATACAAACAGGGACCAATCTTAGAAGGAGTGCAACTATAGCTTAGACTTTAGATTAAAATGTCACAGAAAGAAACTAAATTTTAAGAAATTAATTTTCAAATGTGTTCCCCATCATTCACCAGCAGTTTATTTAAATCATTTTCAGATTATGGGATGAGTTAATTTGGCCTCAAGGTTAAAGGCCTTTTTCCTTTTTGCCAGCACCAAGCAAACTATCACATGGACACCTAGAAGCTTTCTGCCCAATTAAGGCACCTGAAAGCTGGCATATCTGCCTTGTGGTGAAAATATATAAACAGGCAGAAGTGTTAGGCAACAGATTTTGTTGGATGTTACAGGTGTTGTAAGGTTACTGTGTGCAGTGGATGTGCTATGTGAATTCAGGCATAGCTGGAGGAGAAATCTGCAGCTGAAAACCTGATAGCAGCAAACAAGGCCTGAAAGATCTGCAGAACGGACTGGCTCATGGAAAAAACTGCAGCATTTGGAAAGGACAGGCCAGATGTCAAGTTAGGACAGCTTGCTGAGGGCACTGAAATTCCAAGATCAAAGAAGAGTTATTTTTCCCTTTTTCCATTCTTCTCTGTAGGCTAAAAGCAAACCTGAGAAGGGAAAGTACTGAAGAGCCTATCAGAGCTGTTAGGCAAAAAGGAAGGAGGCAGTTAGGAAACTGTAAAAGGTTCTATATAGAGATGTCTTTATAGTTTCTTAAGCTAAGGCCACTGTATAAATAAGTACAACTTATTTATCTAAAAGCTGTAACAAACAATCATCATAGTAATTTATAAAAGAACAGTGTATAGGTATGCCTAGAAAGTTCCCATTCTTTTTCCCACCTTCCAGCATTGACAGTGAGAGGATGTTAGCACTATGAAATGTGTCAGGAATCACAGATCTTATTTTTATAACATTTCCCTTGCAAAAAATGACCAAAGCATTTACATTTTATGTGATTTTTCCCCCAAAGGACCTACTTTGGGTAAGCAAAGAAGATACATCTACATTTGCACCACTGAGAATCAGAAGATACAGTAATTTACACTGATTATTTTTTCTCTAATGATTTAAATCTTACCTGAAGAATTCCAATCACTTTTTTCGCTATGAAGGGTCCAAAGTGAGATGCCTTAGATAAACTGATTCCTTTGTAGTCTGCAAGAATTACAATTCCATTCACTTGGGTCTCCTCAGATTGAATGAGCTTTTCTAACGTTAAGTATATGGCACGAATGTTTTCGGTAATCGGGTAGTTACTTGGTGTCCACCTATCTATGATTAATAAGACACAGACAGTATGTCACAAAGCTAAATAGAAAACCAAAGCACATTATAAAACTGAACATTTTCTTTGCCTTACAATTATTAATAATCCTGTAAAAGTCTCTGTCTGAGCTCACATTACCTCTTACTTCAGAAAAAGCCTATTGTTTTACAAAGAATAATTGAACAGTTATATCAAACATTTAATACTTTTCATGGTTGAACTTAAATCAAACAGAATTAATACCTTTAAGAAAATGAATGCTGAGACTTACAGTCCTATAGGTATATACAAAGATTATACGAAGGTAATTTTACTGGAATATATTTTTAGAATTATCTTATTTAATTAACACTAGTAAACAAAAGTTTATATCATTAATTGGAAGGCATAGTGACATGAACTAATATACTGTATTTAATAGGTGTGGGATTAGGAGGAGGGAGCATCATGTATGCCATCTTGATTGTATAAAATAAAGGCAGGATATAAATCAAATTAAAAACCAAATAAATAAATAAGCAAAAGACAAGCAATTCTATCTTAAAAAATTAATCATACCTGGACGAATACAGACAACATGGCGTCCCTCATTATCTAAGTGAGAAAGCACAGTGACAAAGCCCGATTCCAAGACAGCCTTTATAGCAGATGGCTTCAGATTTGTAAAAACCTCAGGCCAACTTCTCCTACAGCAATGATAGTTCACGAGAAGCTGAAGTGCCCGATCATAATCAAACTTCCTTGCTCTAAGGAACCTAAGCAAGAAAGCATCATCTAGGCATGTCCCCAGGTTAGGATAATCTTTGCACACCATATCTCTAAGGGCTTGAACATCTCGAAGCCGCCACTCAGGTTTTTCCTGCAGCTCTTCACGTGCTTTGGCAATAAGCTCAGCAGACAGCGTACACACATATGTTGTCTGAACTGACAGGATCTCAATTCCTGACAGAGATCCTTCAGAGGGACTTCTAATGGTGCCATCACTATCGCCTGACATTGGTTAGAGAAATACCTGGGGGAAAAAAAGCATAACAAAAAGCAAACAAAGAGCTATTAACAAGCTGATCACCAACTTTTATAAATAAAGAATTCTAGGATGGAATATACAACTATGCCACAATAGATACATTTAGATGTGTCAAATAGCAGTTAATTCACATTTGCCAGTAATAATTTTTCAACAGAAAGTTTTATTCTATGAATTTATCAAAGAGTGGGATATGCATGACTGGATGGCCATGGGGGAATGAATTTATCTCCTAAATTCTCAACCTGAATATTTGATTGAATCGGCACATAAGTCTTAGTAAATAAATTATAATTTCCCTTTTCTGAGATGGGAAGTGATAATTTACTATCCCTAGCAATGTAAGGCTTACACCAAACAAACAATTTCTAATTGAAGGGATTCTTGCAATCTATGAATCTACATATTTTCTCTTGGCAAACCTGAAAAGAAAAAGCAGTACACGTTTGTTTTCAACTTGACATCCATAGGAGATACCTGCTGTTAGCACATCACTTTGGAAAGCCTGTTTGTAAATTTGTAGGTTAGATTACAAGCGATTATTATTTTTGTTCTTCTTGTTTTTTCTGTAACAACCTCCCTTCTGCTTAATTTCAACAGGGATTCCTAAGCTGAACTTTGGAGTTCACTGCTTATCTTGCACAATCAAAAAATTAATCTTTCACTTCTCCAACACTTTGACTTATATTAGACTGATCTGCAGGTCACACAGGGGGAAAAAAATGGGCAAATTCTTCCTCAGCAGCTTCTGGAAATTTCAACTGTCAGTGAAGTTCCCTAAAATTAACAGCCTCTGGGTTTCTTAGAATATCCACATCCTGTCTAGGTGATATTTGAAGGCTGCTGGCAGATTTGAAGAAAGGAGTATTGCACATAGCCTATCTTGTAAACACTCTGATCTAACATGGGTGTAACCGTCACTCTAAAAAATCACTTAGTCAGCGAAGAACCCTGACGCTTCATATATAAAAATGTATATGCTGTTGATGACAGATGCCTACCACGACCTCCTAAATCGACCAAGTCCATACCGTGCTGGTCAGTGTGGTGTGAAAAGACCGCTCCTTCTTTCTCAGGGCATCTCCTACCCAGCAATTGAGCGAGGTGATTTTCCCCGCACCTCCATAGTCCATATATAATGGAAGGAAGCAATCCCGCCTAAGCCCCAAATCATACGCTGCCAGAAACAGAGCAACAAAAGCCCGCCCTCCAGTTAGCTGATCGCTTGACCTGTTTATTTCGGTATCCAGGACTAAGCGCCATTGAACTCAATAGGATGACTGCTAAGTACTCCTGCACAGAACGGTGCTGTAATTAATCCAACAATTTGACGGTCACCTACTTCCTAAGAGGCAGACGGGGACGGTGAACCCCATGTTTCCGTCCCAGACGCAGCAGCAACCAACCACAGCTGCGTCTCAAGCAAAACCAACAACCACCTCACAAACCCCGACACTCACCACAACACCAACCCCACTAACCGGAAGAGACTGTCTCCAGGAGAATCGGACCATAACCCGGAAACGCTCAGTCAACCTCACGAAAACTCTTTCCGGTCGAGGAGGGGAAAACAAAAGGAAGACTTGGAATGCGTAGGATTTCCCGGGCGAACCAGCCCAATCCAAAGGGGTTATAGTCTCTATAGGTTGGAAGCTGTAATTCCGGTTCCCAATGCCAGCGCTTAGTAGGAGAGGTAGAGGGTATGAGGTAGAGACAGGGGCGTTTTTAATGAAACCTCTTGAAATCAAACTTCTTGCTGCAGTGGCGAGAGTCTGTGCCAAAAAGATGGGAAAGAGGAACCACTCCCATTAGTTCAATTGAAAAGCCACTTGCCAATTGAATCCTTTTGTTAAAGCAGCCGGGCACGGGTTGTAAGACACGTGTAAAAATTAGCGCCCAACCAAGGTTGCGTATTATGTCTCTACGTATTTATTCATTTCTGTCCGTGTTCGCACAGCATAATGAACCGCACACTGGCTAGCCCTGTTTTTTCCTAAGACGTCGCTTGTGTTTTGCTTACGGTTCAATGTGTTCGTTCCCTTAACCACGAATAAACGCGTCATGTAATTACAGCTTAATAGTGTATTGTTTTAATAATGGTGTCAGATAATTGAGAGATTGGCTGTGGGGTCTCATTGACCTGTACAACTCTCAGTAAGAACGTCATTGTGAATGGTTTGGCTTGATGTAGTAACGAAGGATTTAATATATAATCATGCAGCGCATCTCTCTGTACGCACGAAGAAATATGGGTCTTCATTTTTTAAAAATAGAAACCTCTGAAAGAGGAATGCTGACTTTTTTATACTACTACTACTACTACTACTACTACTACTACAATTCCCCCCAATGCATTCCGTTGAAGCACAGTTGTGCTTCAAATATCCAATCAACAGAGGGAGCTGGATATACTTTGCAAAGTGAATCCTATTTCAAAAGATCTCAGAGCGTTCTTGCAATGGGATCCTTTTGCCTGCTTTTTCCTGTAGAAAGGGTTGAAATTCAGTGTTAAGTCTAAGATGCTGTAAGTTCTTCCAAAAGCAGAAGGTGCATAGAATTTTTGCAGTAGAACTTTGGAGAATTCTTTGGAGTCAGCAGCACGCAAAGGCTCTGTTTTTCTCTATTTACCACTTTGTCCTCTTCTCATGCTCCCTGGGGAGATGGCTGTGGTTGCTTGCATTCCCCCTTTCATTGCTGTTTGTTTTGGTGGCCGTCTCCTGCAGCCTTCTTTTCCTTCTATAGAATTGGGATCTTCCAACATGATGCCTGTGCCTCCTGGACTTAGTTTTTTAGACAATAAATTGGGCGAGGGACTGCAACCATGTCATTGCTTCGAATTTTATTCACCTACATGAACGTTTCTCTGAGTGTTACTAATTTTCCTTCTGTAAATGGGTATTCAGTAACTAGCTGTACTCAATGCAAGACCCATTTTGTGAGTGTCGGCCACTGGCCCAAGTATTTGGCAGCCCGCTCCAAGGTTATCTCTTCTGTTTGCCGTGAGGCCAAGGCACATAAGTGGCTTTTAGGCTGCATGTGGTCCACAAAGTTTGGGATTTAACTTTATTCAGCAGGGAGGGTTTTTCAACTGTCCAGGGTACGACTTGATAATTGTGCCAATGAATATATCTAATTCTTTTTTTAAAAAAATCATTTCAGAAATACATCTTCTAAGCTGAATCTACATAATGTGAAGAAGAGCCTCCCTTTGCCTTAAGACTACACCCCCTTGTGCTCCTAAAAATGCAATAGAAGGGAGGGTATACAAGCAGACCTTCTGAGTCAGCTGTTGTCCTGTTTCCATAGTGCAGGGATCCGGGGTTCTTACGGCTCTGTGATGCTGCTGTGATAATCAAACAAGATTCTGATTTTTCCAAAACGTGTCATTGCTAACGCTCAATGATTTCAGATTCCTTTACTGGCCATAAAAAGTAATAATACGCTCCAGGATAGAACTGAACCCTGATTTGATAGAAGGCATGCCACCTCCTTTTATATAAATAGGAGCTTTAATGGAGTTACGCTGAATTGTCTTAGAATTGTTTTCAGACTTGGATGAATGCTTTGAACTTTCTTATAGGGTAAACTTAGTGCCAGCCTTAGCTTTTTAAAAAACAGTGACCCATATTTTTCCTTTGTGAATACATTAAGATGCTCATATCTGGTTCAGGCAAGTCATAACTTTATCTCATGAGTAAAAACTGACTATAGAAACATCTATAACATCTTCTATTGTTTATATTGGTGCTTTGGATCACAAGTAGAAGTGCACCCCAAATCATGTATATCTCCTTGCCTGATTGATCAGATCACGGTTACCTCCTTGCTTGGCAAAGCCATACCTAAAGATACTGTTGCATCTGTGATACCACCAGGGGCACCCACTGACCTCAAACATGAACGGAATTTGTAATAACTGAAATCTCTTAATATAGCAATTTTTTCCAGATCTCTGCCCTCTTACAAGGAATCTCATGAGATTTTCGTGAATTTTAATACGTAAAATAATATGTAAAAACAATAATGTTTGCTGCCCATGACTTTATGTGAAATCATGTGAAAATGGCCACAGTTTGAAAACATTAAACTCAAATTACCTCCATCAAATTTTCTTACAGATAAGGAGATCTAAGTCAGTCTTCTCTAAGCTGGGATTTGTCAAGAAAAGCACCCAAGGCAAAAAAATCAAAATCAAATCTTTATTACAGTCATAGACAAGCATGGGGGGGGGGGGTAATTAAAAAGCATAGAAAATACATCATAGTTTTAAAAATTATTAAAAGAAGATATAAAAAGATATAAAAGAAGATATAAAAATGTATGTATTAAAACAA